ATAATATTATATATAGGCTATATATATATATATATATATATATATATATATATACATACATATAAAATATTATTAAAAATATTATATTCTACAGACTAGATTCACGAGAGGTCGGCTAATGTGTGTAAAAGTAAAAAAATACAGTAATTTCATTAATTTATCAGCGAGCGTACTTCCGAAGCACTGAAAATGAATGGGGTTCAATGCGTGTTTGGAACTATTGGCTGCTCCACGACACGCGTTACTTCCGCATTCCAAAGTTCCTATGGCGGTCTATGGGAGTGTCGCAACTCTTTCTCTCTTTAGCTGCTTTCCGACCGGAGAGACTTTTGCAGTTCCTAGAACCTAACGTTCCTATAACCCTTTTTTTCGCGTGTTCCGACCGGACTAAGTTGGGGATTTTTTAGTTCCTCAGACCGTAGTTCCTATAACACTTTCAGTACCTAGTCTAGAGCGAGGACTTTTTTAGTTCCCTTTCCCTAGGTCTACGTTGATTGGTTCAACTTATAAGTCACGCCCACTGTCAACACATTTTCTTCACTGTCTGTTGCAATTCGCCTATGTAGGCTATGCTAACTCATAACTTAAGACAAACATAACGCATTCAACCAGCTAATTGCTAATGCTTGCTAAACTTACCCGTCGTTTTGTTTGCCTCCTGCGCTCTGCTCTTCTATCTTCTTCCATCATATTACTTAAGATCATATTACGCTGGAGCCTTCGTCTTCTGTGTTTCTCTGTACAGAACTCAAGATCTTTTTACGCCGCCGTTCGTACTGCGTTATTAAGGTCCCGGCAAGGCAGAACAGGAACATTCCGATAGCCTCCTCCACGCTGGTTTGTTGTTGTATGTGGCGCCGCCGCCGCCGTGCTTGCGTCACTCCCTTACCCCTCCTACCAGTTCCTATGGCCACTTGGCCAGTGCGAACGCAAACAGCAAAACCGAGTTTGGGTACAGTAGTTCTTAGAACTATTTAGAAGTGGACAGTTCCTATAACTAAGTTCCTGTAACTACTTGGTCGGAAAGCGGCTTATGGCTCTGGGACAACCTTAAGACGCACTATGCGTCATTTCCGATTCTTCTTCCTGTATCCAAAGACAACAACAATAGCAGCAACACGCGGATAATGAATAGTTCGGGGCAGATAGCGATCGCCTTTCTTTGCGCTTTGGTGCTGGTACTGACCTCGCTCCAATAGTATGCTGTGCTGCGTCTCGCCATGTTTACTTCCGGTATACTGCACGCGGGTTTTTGTATGCGCTGAGAAGTTCCTCTACTCAAAAGACCAAGATTCCTTGCAAATAGAACATGCGCAGAACACAAATCACTATGGGGATATGCCGATGCGCGTTTACATGACCAAAAATTCGGGTTAGAAAAGGGGTACCCCAGGGATCATATCCCGGTTTTAAAAATCCGGGATATGAGCATATTCGGGTTTTTGCCGGTGTTTACATGGCCGTGCGCGACCGGGTTATTGCTAATATCCCGGTTTTGAACGGGTTATTGGCTACATGTAAACATAGTCAATGACACACAAGAAGACTGAAGACGAAGGGCGGGACAGTTCAATGCACAGGTAAGTAATCCACAGGTAAGTAAGGTAGAGCTTAGAGGTTCAGTGTTGAACTATGAGACCAGATGCTGATGTGTGTGTGGAGCAGGCTTAAATAGATTGGAGCTGATGAAGGTGATTGATGGCAGGTGCGCATGATTGTGAAGTGTGTGCAAGTGTGAGCCAGGAGGGATTATGGGAAATGTAGTGCAAGGTGACTGGTCAGGTGACTGAGGATTGTGACAGTACTCCTTCCTCCCAGAAGGAGTGACCCCACGGCTTGAAGAGGTGAAGACGGAGGCTTAGGAGGGGGGCATGGAGATGGTAAGAGGAGCAGGCGAAGGGATGGTGTTAGCAGGCGGCGGAAGAATGGTGACAGACGGACGACGAGACCCCGGCGGCAATGTTGGTATCCGTCAGAAGGCACAGACACAGAGCCGACACCCCACGGTGGAGTTGAGGGAGAGAGGAGCCAAGGTGGAGGCTGACATCAACTGGGGGACGACCTACAGAGGGGGAGCCGATGGATCCCAGGGCGCAGACGGAGAGCCAATGGAGAAGAGCGACATCTCTGGCACAGGAGTCCAAGGCGATGCCGCGGCGACAATTGTCTGAGGAGGAGCCAGACTGCCCGAGGACTGAGGTGATACCGGTGTGATGGAGGACCGAGGCGTAACCGAAGGGAAGGAGGAGCCTGCTGCAGCCATAGGGGTGGAGGAATGGAGCGTAGCGGAAGATCCGCAAGTCCGTGGCGGAGGTGGTGTGACGACTGATCAAGGGGGAGCCGGTGGGACGAGGCAACCCAGTGGAGTTGAAAGGCCGAGGGTGTCTGGTGGAGTCGAAGGTGGGAGGAGCCAAGGTGGAGCCGACACAGGTTGATGGGCCGAGGCGGAGCGAGATGACCTGAGGCTGGAGGCGGAGCCACTGGATCTATCCGCTCAGGCACTGATAGTGGTTGTAGGACCTGAAGCTCAACGTGAGTGCTTGGCATTACAGGAGATGACAAAGGGCTGACAACCTCCAGCAGAGGCGGGGCTGGAGGACTGGCTGAGCAGGGTGGTGATGGAAGCAGATGAAGGCTAGACATTCTTAAAGCCGCTGACCTCTTATCTTCGGGCACTGGCTAACGCGTCGCGGAGGGTGGTAGCTCTCCATCTGCGAGGGGCTCACATGATTCCTACGTGGTCGATGGTGGTGGAATGGACTCTGGGCACGGCTGTGTTCTGGACCGGGGGTAAACACTCTCCAGACACCGGATGATAGCACCCCTCCAGTTCAGCCCAGAGGTGTCTGGCAGGGTCTTGTCGTCAAAGATTTTTCAGTTAAAAAAAACCTCACGAGCCACATCAGCAAATCCATTTTAAGGTCTGGTCTTCTGTCACGGAACAGAAGAATACAGACACAGGTAAAATCTGAATAGAGTTTATTGAATAACACACAGGAAGTTAGCAGGTGAGTCTCAGGATTGCAGATTGTGATGAGAGTGATAAGTCACAGTTCGATGGACAGTGTTGAACAACGAGACCAGACACTGATGAGCGTGTGGAGCAGGCTTAAATAGAGTGGAGCTGATGGTGATTAATGGCAGGTGTGAATGATTGTGAGGTGTGTGCAGGTGTGAGCCAGGAGGAAGGGGACTGGTCTGGTGACTGAGGATTGTGACATTAATGTTATTAGTTTTTTTTTTTTTTTTTTATATAATTTGTGAATTATTACAAGGCAGTGATACTACCATAATTTACTAAGTTATCTTTTCATATTATTAATAAATTCCAAACTTACTGTAACAGGGTTGAAATACAGCAGCATATTCTCATGTTAGCATATGTCTAAATAAGGGAAAGCTGGTCTGTAAATTTCTGTGTATCTTTCCTGACTATGAGACGCAGCTCTGCGTTCAGCTAGTATCAAGAACTTGAGCTTGATCACTTTAAACCATCTGTAATCTCAGTTGAGTCTATAATGGAATTTAATCTGTTTGGCTGTGTGAGACTTAAGCAACACCATTAAATAAGTTTAGCACCAGCTTAACCATCCCTAATATACACCACAATCTGGTGCCGTTCCTACACTGTAAAAGTGGTGACCTGCAATTGTGGCTATTTCTCTCTTATCTGCCCCTTATATTTAATCTTGTTGGTGTAACATAATGCATTTAGGTTGACTGATTGATGTTAAATAATATTTTTGATTTGAATTAAAGTCAATTAATTTAGATGTAACCACATGAAGCATTTCTCTTTTTTTCAGTGTAGAAAAGTAAATGTACAGAGATATAAAGAGGGAACACAGATTTCAGAGAATATGCATTCGCCTCCAGATTCTGTTTATGCAGTGCATTGAAGTTGTTAGTGATGTGACAAAACAAAGATATAGAGAGGAAAGTGTTGTGCACATGGTTCCAGACAAAATCTGATGAGCTGCAGAAGCGACGAAATGCTGACATGACTGATGATGCACCAGTATGCAGTTATTCATGGCAGCATTTCAAGAAATATATTGTCATACTGTTGAAAAAGAGAGAGAATGCAGAAACAATAAAGGGAAATGTGGTGGAAAAAAGTGAAAAACATTTCCCTTCCATGTGGAGGTGTTTTGATAAAGAAAAAGACAATGGAATATGAATTCAAAATGACTCTAATAACATTATAAATTGCACCCTGTCGTATATATATGAGTGTGTGTGTGTGTGTGTGTGTGTGTGTGAGTGTGTGTGAGAGAGAGAGAGAGAGAGAGAGAGAGAGAGAGAGAGACAGACCCTCTCTTTCTCCCCCTCTCTCCTTATTTCTCAAACAGTCTCATTCTGTTTTCTTCATTTTCTGTCCCTGATTCCCCACTGAACCACTTTTCTTCATTCTTTAGTAAATTATACACAGTCTATTATGCGGTGTCCTTGATGGGCTCTAGGTTTTAGAGTGTGTATGCGTGTGTGAGTAGGTGAGTGTGTCTATATGTGAGTGGGTGAGTGAGAGAGTTCTTCCTGCATTGTCACTGGGAGGAGTGTTTCCTGCTGCCCAGATTAATGGGCTAATATTGGACATTAATCCCTCCATAGGGAAACAGACTGGGCCCAACACAGCCACATGGAAAGGTCAGCCACAGACACACACACAAGCAGGCACTCACACACAAACAAGCGGAGGTGTTAGAGCTGCGAAACACTTGAAGCTGTGATTTCGAGAACAAACTAATCTCACTGTCATGGCAACAATTGTCAAGTGTTTTAACTAACTGAAATCTTCCACTTGTAATTTCTAATGTGCTTTTCAGAAATAGCTGTGCAAATAATAGTCCCTTAAAAACACCCCAGTGAGAACAAGACAACAAGACAATCAGTCAGATATGACTTGAAAATGTGTGTGTATGTGTTTGATTAAGACATGTTTTATTAGAAAGTTAATCTGAATTGCAAGGGGAATGTACCAACAAATGACATGTACTCACTGCTTGCTGATGACATAAGACTGTAGTCAGACCTGAGAAGAGAGTGAATGACAGAAAGGAGAGAGAAACAGAAAGAGACTTTTGTTAGAGACTGCTAGAGTGATTTAGGATCCCAAGGTTTCAAAGGAAGGTCCTACATCTGGACAAACAATCCTGGGTGTCATGGTATATAGTGTGTGTAGTAGATCCTCTAGTGTATACAGTACACACACATATATGCAAAAGTTATGATCAAAGATTGTGTCTTTAGCTGCTTTGTGTCAAAAACCTTCTATGCTCCCAGCTCAACGGTTGCAGAGAAAGGTTAAAAACAAACAAAGAGTGAGACCTGTTTAAAATAGTTCATAGTACAAGCTATTGACCTAGAGTTTTTTTTTTTCATGTACATGCTTTTTCTTTTCTTTTATCGCTCTCTGGTCAATCTTGTTCCTTTCCTATCTCTCTCTTGCTGTCTTTCCTGTTTCTCTGGTAACTGTTTTCAAAATTGATAATAATAAGAAATGTTTCTTGAGCATCATATAAGCATATTAGAATGATAGAATGATGATAGCAAAAGAGACTTCTTTCAAAAACTTTTAAACTGTATTGTACATACCATGGTCTATACTTGGCATTCAACAGCAAATGCACTTTTGTGTTTCTATGTAATATTTAATACAAAGAAAAGTATCATAAAAGCCTCTAAATGTGGCCGATATTGTCATTATAGTGAATCAAATGTGTTTTACATTTGCTAACCCTGAATCAATGAGTGCTGTATACAATGAAAATCTTAATGTAGGTGACAGAGGTGGTGAATTTTCTGTTGATTTTTATTAGTCTCACACTTCAACAATGAACTCTTGAGCATCATTAGAAAGCATTTTTTTTAATTCTCTGATCTACTGCCATTCATGCAGTTTACAGTCAGTTACTGTTTTGGAAACAAACTAAATGAGAATATGAGGCACACAACAATTAGCAATAAAACTCCCACGTAAACCTAATCTGAAAACCACTACGTGGGAGATATTCAATAGGCTATACGGTATTTACAAATGGGAACAAATCCTTCATATTTTTACCGGATCATCGAGAGATACAACGCATTTTTAGGTCAGATAAATTTCTTTCAGACATTTTTGTCCATTTAAAGGATAAGTTTGATCTAGAATAGATCTAGAACTAGATGATCAATCTCAGTGGTAAAAAATAACTTTTTAACTGAAATGTTGTGGTTCTAACTCAATGATGGATAAGCTATCAACATTTGAACTTAAACCCAAGGTTGCTCCTGTGTACTGTAAGTGGCTTTGGATAAATGCATCAGCTAATTGAAGACTGGAAGGCTGTCACTGAAATCATTAGAAAGGTGCTGAGGCCATTTTCTTCTGAACAAATTATTCTAGCATATCTAAAGAAATAATATTCTAAAACAGATTATATACACAGTCACATGTACTCCAGAATGTAGGATTTAATCAATGTGCCAAGACTACAGTCCTACTAAAGCAGTACCTACACCTACAACACAGCCATTATGATGTGACATACCTAAAAACAAACCAGGATGCATCTTTTCATCGTTCACAGCTGAAAGCACAGAATGATGGTACAGATCACACATGACTTTGAAATAATAAAAGAGTTAAATCTCAGGTAGAGAGCTGATGTGAGAGCTATGTGATTAGTATGGATACTTCTGTCACTCTCTTGGGCTAATCAGCCTAGAAGCATGCAACAACAGCTGAACTCATTAGCTTTCCAGCTACTTTTCATCAGTAAATCTCTGCGCCAGAAGGTGTTAATGCCAAACAACAGATGGTTAAATGAGAAATGGGGCAAAAGAGGTAAGTTAGAAACGAAACAAGAAAACTTCAATAAGGCGTCTTGTCAAATATTTTTTTTATTAAATGACTTGCGTGGATAATGAATCAGAATCCTCGTCAAATGACTCACTTTAAATGAATCAGATTCTTTCTTCTAAGCGCATTGATGTTTGTATCACATCGGCGTCTAAGCTAGTGCATTTTGGATATTCGCAGTACGTTATTTAATTATCTTAACAAAATAAGTTCTTTATTATAGCTCACCCTCCGGTCTCCGCTCCTGAATCAGCGCACTCATCTTCCACTGAATTCTTCATCACTGGTGAAAGTGTCAGACAGTAACTTCACATGCCTCCCGTTTTCTCTTCTGCACTTTACGCCCACGTACACGGTCGGCACACAATGACTGCGAATAACTTTTTAAAGCTGGGATGAACAAACGACCCCGGTAAGGGTGACAGGAACAGCTAACAATGACATGCCAGAGTCTGTCTGATCTTGTTCGTTCGTGAAGCTTTTGCGTCACCGTCGTTCATTCAATTCAATAGCGCGTTTACCGCTCCCAGGTGGCACACAGCGAGTATTTCACTGGACCATGAGACAAACATGCGCACTCAGTCTGCGTGAAATGTGGACATAAGATAAATAAATAAAAAACACTTCTTACTTTAAGTATCTATAAAGCTATATATTGCATTACGAACACATTATTAAACTTAAAACATAATCGATATGGATGCTGCATGCATTATGGATTATATGGAAGCGTTGCGACACAATGACAAATCCCCGACAGAAATATTTCGCACTCACATTTGTTTATTTTGCCAAAATGTTCTACATATTAAGAAAATTACTAGGATACTCTTGAGATATAACTTAAAGCTTAATGTAGGCAACAAGATACATTCTTTCTAGAAAAAGCTTATTCTAATAATAATAATAATAATAATTTGTTACAATTATATAGCGCTTTTCTGGTTAGCCTATATGGAGTTAATATTGTGCCATAATTAAACAAACAAATCCAGGATTTTGCAAACAAACTCGATCTGCTTTGCAGAGGAAAACTTGACTCGCAAACAAACTCGATCTGCTTATTAGCAAAGGAAAACTTAACTCGCAAACAAACAGAAAGCAATGTGCAAGAACAAAGTCCAATTTGAGAGAAAATGCAGTGGAGTAACATGCATTGTGTTTTTCAAATATAAATAAATGAGCCTAGATAATATTTCACAAATAAATACAAACCATCCTACAAATTGCATGTAACATTTGAACAAAATCTATGCATACAAATGCGTCTGTTATGATAGTGAGACACTTGGCTTTTTATGAGATCTCTCGGCTCGATTTTCTCTTATATGTGTCCAGGCAGATTTTCTCACAAATGCAGTTGAGCTAGCCTGGATGCCAGCCGAACTTAGCTCCGCCCACAACATTTGAGGATGGGAAGTTCGGTCTGGACTTGATCCGTTGTGAAGCAAGTATGCCCGAACCAAAGCTGTTCGGACCAATCAAATATTCAGGGCGGGCTTTAGGCTATATGATGATGGACAGATGATCAACAGGCACGTAATCATCCACGTCACCAAAGAGCGCTTGGGTTGAATTCGTTTACAACAAAGAATGGCTCTGTCGCTGGAGAATTTAGATGTGTAGATTCAGCCGTCGCGTCTGTTATAGAAGATCTAGACAGCGCATTCATTTTAAAAGAGGAACAGAGAACCGCGATCAAGGCATTTGTCGATCGGAAAAATGTTTTTGCCGTCCTTCCTACGGGATTCGGTATATTGAGTGCAGAGGAATTTTTTTCCTGGTTCGGTTGAAACACGCCCCATAGTCACAGCCCAATGGAGATGGTCCTCACTGCAGAACACACCTAAACCTACCCATCTCCACCCCCTGATCCCTAACCCCACCCCATACCCATCTCCACCCCTTAGATCTGGATCCAACTCCGCCCCCTGGATCTCGTGTACTGCAATGAGGTGCTACTGGCCCAATGGGGCAGGGCAGTATCATAGACAGTAAAAGAAATGGACACAGCGACCCCGTTGATTTCAACGGAGAGAGTTGAAGCCCTCACTTCCTGATAGCCAAGCGTTCTGCGCAGGCTCAAACTGAGCTTGACGACGTAGTTGTCACGTGAGCAACCGTTCTGACCTTCTAGTAGCTGTGCCGGGACAAATCTGAATTGAAATCTGAAACAAATCTGTTGTTGAAATATTTTGTCCCGTTGCTTTTATGAACTCTCTATCTATGGGCTTCTCCCTTGACTTTATGCCTCCAGGTCCACCCGATTGCCTCATAGACAGTAAACGATTCCCTACGAGCTTCTACTTCTGTCTTTACGGTAATTTCTCTACTGTGCGACAGAGCGTCCCGTGGTTATGACGCAATCGTTAGCCTATTTTTACAAGAATGGCTTCTACGGGGCCATAACGTAAGATACAAAGTAATGGAGCCTTTTATACATTGTCGTGTTTCTTTAGAAATAAATAATGGACAAATGGAGTCTTTGGACGCCTCAGATGTAAAGTTATTCGCTGTCAAAGTGACGCCAAAATGAATGGGAGTCAATGGGATGCTAACAGCAGGTGATAGCCAGCTACAATGGCGGCCCCCAGAGGCAGCTTCAACTTCCGGCTGATGGATTACCCCCTTGGGCAGTATCAGACTCACATTCTCTGCACATATTGCATATATTTACATATATTCAAACGCACATAACTATAGAATCAATTCTTAATACGCATGTGAACGCCATCAGCATTTATCACAGGTTCACGTTTAAAGTCTGTTTAGAGAACGGTGTCATCTTAGCGGCCCCTAATTTAATAACAAATGATCATTTCAACGGAAGTGAATCAATCAAAACTAACTTTAGCTGGAAAATAACATTATTCAAGAACCGCTAAGACCAAACCAATCTCTGTTACCTTAAATTATATTAAGTTTATCTCTGTAAAGCTGCTTTGAAACGATCTACATTGTTGAAAGCGCTATATATAAATGAGGATGACTTGACTTGACATTCTGATTAGAATCTGAGTATGACGACGTCAGGCTACAGTTGAGCAACTTCCTCTTCTAAAACAGTAGATGGCGCTAAGATAGGGGATTCATTTAGCGCTAGTCTCCCGGGAAAAGCACTGATTTGAAATGTGTGCTTGCCTTTGCCTACAGCTGAGGAAAATGACAGGTGAACAAGTGTTTCTCTCTTACTTTATCTATAATTAACCTATAATTAACCTTTTTGAGGTTTTCTTTTGCAAAATGTTTATCTAGACAGAAATCAACATTAGCACTTAGTACTTCACTCTCTCCAGGATAGGGGAGATGGTGGGGTGAGCGGTCACGCTTATGCAGGCTCTGAGGAAAATTAGATTGAAAACTGTTACCTCTAAAAAAAAAAAAAAAAAAACATTTACGATGGCTAACAACACCAATCAAGCAGATACCGTGGATCATGACCATGACTACAACTTCAATGCTCTCGCTAAGGCATGTGATGAAGAAATCGAAGATATGATGATAGAAACTGCCAAAACAAGATGTGACCATACACCTCTGCCCAGCCCGAATCCCAAGAAAATGAGAGCAAAGGAAAAAGACAAAATTAAACAAACCGACGGAATAACAAAAGAAGTGATCTTCGATGCAATTCATACACTAATTAAGAGATTCGATTAAGTCTTTCGCCCTTCCCTGCCTTTTTTAACCGGAGTACACAGACAAATAGAGAGCCTAAGCCCCTCCCCTCCGCTTCCGGCTCTATTTCAGAAAAAATATGGTAGTCAATGGCGGCGAGAGACAACTTATCTTTTTATTCCGTCAACTGTGCTCTGAATTACACATATGATGTTTGTCAATTTAAAAGATAATTATTAAAGTCAAGAAAGTCGCAGTTTGTCATAAAAACAGAAGAGTAACATTTATGTGGAAATCGCCCAATGAACTACATTTCCCGGGAAGCGAAACAACGAGCAAGATCCGCTGCTTGTATGTAGGGGTGGTAATCTTTGGTCACCTCACGATCTGATCCGATTCCGATTCTGGGAGTCACGATCCGATTCCAGAACGATTCTTTATCTACCTTTCCGCCTCTTATTAATTCATTAGTTTACATAAGTAATTAGGTACTTTAATTTTTTTTTTACAAATTAATTTTTTTTTATTAAAACAGTTGTATGTTAAGAATTTTAAACTTATATAACTAATATAACAAATAATAAAGAGGAGCATAGAAAAATATAACAAACAAACAAAAAGTGCTTTCAGTAGCCTATAGATTATCTGAACGTTTTCCATTCAAGAACTGTGAGTGATATTTCTTCATCTTTACTGTTGTTTTTTACAATGACATCATAGACTGCGGGAGATCTATTAAGCTGCATTCACGCACGCATCTCTTTTGAAATAAAAGAAGTAATGCGGTGTGTCCTGTCCGTTTAACCCCTTAAGACATAACTGGCTGTGTTTACGTTTATTTTGCACAAGTACATTAAACCACTACACGGAGTCGCACAGCCGCATGCGTGAGCAGTCTCACAAACAAAGCGCGCGTCAGCATTTGAAATTGAAAGCAGCCTTCTGTTGGTGAGGTTCATATTTTAAATATATAAGTCCACTGCATTCCAAACCACATAAATGATGACTTCGTATGCATTTGTAAGGAAAATACCGACGGGCGAGACAGCACACTTCAAGTGTAACATCAAAGAAAGCGTGCGTCTCTCACAGCGTATCCTGTGCAATGAAGCCTGTGAATGTCCTTGTAATTCGCTTCAACCTTTCCGAACTTTATGAAAGATTATTTTATGGAAGGTTCGAGTGGTGCATGTGTGTGAGGAATTGGAAGCAAGCAGAATACGGGTGTTTCTAAAGCAAACTCAACGTCATCGCACATCTGGTTAAACTAAGCTCAGAATCGATTCTGGAATTCTCAGAAATCGATCCAGAATCGTTGGAGAGAGAATCGCGATGCATCGATGGATCGATTTTTTCTCCCACCCCTACTTGTATGTGTGCAGTCTGGTACAGAACACTCAGGCATGACGGCGTAACGTTACGATTATAACGTAAGAAGACTATAGAAAAAATGACAGACGTTAGCTTCAGTAAAGTTAGCTTCATTCATTGAGAGAAAATGTGGCCTTTTGGGTTTGTAGTCTTATACCTCAACAGTTTTACAGCAAACTGCGACTTTCTTGACTTTAAAATGTATCTTTTAAATTGACAAACATCATATGTGTAATTCAGGGCACAATTCAAACGAGATCGAAATATTTGTTGTCTCTCGCCATTGACTACCATACAATATTTTTCAGGTCCCATGGCAGTCGACCGGAAGGGGAGGGACTTAGATAGATGACGTGGTTTCCAACGTGATGACGTAATCCCTGGCGCGTCGCAGACCAGCACAAGATGAACAATACGCTGATTTCACCAAGGGGGTAATCCACCAGCCGGAAACTGAAGTCTCCCCGGGCGCCGCCATTGGCTAACAAGCCTTCACCTGCTGTTAGCATTCCATTGACTCCCATTCATTTTTGCGTCACTT